CTGAACCGGAAAGAAATCCTGTTTCTTACACATGGGATGGATGTCCCAAGCTTCTTCTGTAATAGCTGGGACGCTTACAAGGAAGCTGCAATTCCTACCATGAAGCTTTCCTTTAGCTGAAGCTCTTAGAGGACCCAATGCCTAGCTAATTCTCCCAGGAAATTAATTATCTCTGAGATCCCTCTCTCCCTGTCAAATCAGCCAAGGAACTGGCGACAATAGTTGGGGAAGCGAGCAGGAAAGGAGAAAACAGACACATTATATGAACCCATCCCAGGAGGGGTTCAAGGCCAGGCTGGATGAGGCTTTGGGCAACCTGGGCTGGTGGGAGGTGTCCCTGCCCATGGCAGGGGGGGGCACTGGATGGGCTTTAAGGGCCCTTCCCACCCAAACCCTTCTGTGATTCTACGATTCTATGAATTTTGTTGCCTTCAAAATAATTTCTCTTTGTAGCTTCCCTCCTGGAGACGACATAAACCCATCCATTACCTCCACTCGATGGCATTCTCAAGTGACTTGAACGTTTTGGGACGACTCCTCAAGAAGTTCTGCATGCTGTTCAACGCATCCATGGCTGTACCTAAAATAAATTTTTAACTTTATGGCATTTGATGAAATAATTGTCAAATTCCTTTATACGGAACTGGCTACTAGGGAACACCCTCAGCGAGAGCTGCAGCTCATCTGGGATTTAACGGCGGTAAGGAAAGTACAGCTTGGTACTCTTAAGCCCACAGTCACACATTAGAGAATTAATATTTTAACAGGTAGGATGTTGAGATAGTAAGAGAAGGCAGAAACCACTCATCGGCACCATGCATTATATAAAAAGCCATCCTTCTCCCCGCTAAGAAGAAAGGATTCCAAAGAAATGATCAGGAAAATAGCAAACAGCCCATTTGGGAACAGCAAAAGGAGGGGTCACACTAGAAAGACTTTTGTGTAGGTAGCATCTGTTAGGAGGATGGAATTGGGTTTGGTTTAAAAACTGGGCAAAACTTTCTGTATTCAGGGATTTGGGATTAAAAAAAAAAAAATCAACGTGGAAGACGGAACCCTATCAGAGGGCACAGAAGCCCATTGGAGGGCACACACACTTACCTTCCACAACATCGATCATGCACAGACCCAGTAAACTTGGCACCAAGTTTGCGACCGCCGTGTGCACGGCGATGGCCCCCCCCATGCTGTGCCCGATCAGCATGATAGGGGGAGGAAGGTCCCCGTAGAGAGCTTCGACCACGTTTCCAACATCTCTGGAAATTGAGATAATAGCACCATTGGCATCTTGACTTTGATATATTCCTGAAGCAAATTTGTACAATGGGAGGAGAAAATACAGATCCAAGAGAGATGTCTGGCTCCAAATCCTCTTTGTATGTTCATTTAACCCGCAGGTAATTGAGACAAGTTTATTCTCTTATCACTGTTTCATCTAGGCATCAATACAGGAAATTATTCAAGCCAAGACTTTCCTGAAGAAGCACGACATTTCCCCTTTTATTAACAGAAAGTTCTCATTTAAAAGAAATCTCTTGAGGAGAACAGCTTATATTGACATCAGCTGGTAGAAATTTTAAATAAAAGGTGAGAAAGCTGTCAAATCCTCCTGCACAGAAGCCCAGACCAAGAAATTCACTGTTCTGAAAGGAGAAACCTTTTGCAATGTATTTATTTTTTGCAAGAGAGAAAACAACTGAACCCTACTGACTAAGGTGAAGACAAGCAACACAGGAAAAGAGATTCAGACTCTCCACGAGCACAGATACTACAAGGCAAGGGGCAATTTCCCCGTCCTTTCCATAAGGCACCTACTTTTGAAGCGGTTGGTGCACTACGTGAAAGGTGGCTGGTGGGATTCACAAACCCCAAAACAACAGCAGAACTAATGATTGCAATCTACTGAAGAGCACCGAACGCTTAAGACACCAAAACTGGTTTTCCTGACTAAAACCATTCAGAGGAATCGGAAGTCTGAGCAGTTTTGCAACTAGCAAATGGAAAATTAGTTAAAAAAAAAAAAAAGTTGACCAGTTTGATTGCTCTGTCAGAGAAAATTGCTTGAGGATTTGATTAAAAAAAAAAAGAAAACCAGTTATAATTTAAGGCTTCCATTTAAAGGCTATTCAGGAATAACTTTCAAGCTCATCGCAAAGAGAAGAGAAAGGTTTAAAAACAAAAGGCAACTCATTTTTCCCCCACCACGGCAGTGCTGCTCCAGATCTAAAAAATTCTCATTGTTTCATCCAGCATCTCTTCAGGACAATAACATGTGAGGATGTGACAAGCCATAAGCAGTGGCAAGAACATATCCAATGGAAGTCAGGATACATTTCACACATGACCTCCCCGCAACAAACCCGGCGGATTTGTTCATATGGAGGTTACAAAATCCTTCCTGATTTAATTGTAGTCACAGCAAATAGTCTCTTTGTACTAAATGTGGACAGAACATCATGTGCTTAGCGCTGGGTATTTGCTTTTTTTCCAGCTTTGTCAAGAGGGGGATTTGCATCCCAAAGCAGGTCGGGATAGTTTGAAAAAGCGACTCCCTCCATGCTTGAAAGTCACAGTCTGTGACTCATGCTTTGGGGATGTCCCAGTTCAAGGTGGGCACGGTCTGAACACTTGCTCCAGGAGCCGAGGAAGAACCAAACTGGTGATTTCAAACTAAAATGCCCCAGTTGGTTATGTCTGCACATTTGCCTTCAATTAGGAAATCTCCAGCAAGAGTTATAGCGTGTTGTGGATTTAAAGCCTTCACTGCAATGAAGCCACAGATCTTTAAAGTGAGTTTAAAAACTGAGGGCACCTAGAGAACAACAGCAGTTTGGAATCTGACTCAGCTAGAAGAGGTATAATTTCAAATAAATTTCAAACTGTCCCAAAATGGAAGGAAAAGAAGGGACAACTACCAGAATAAGGTGAAATGAAACTATCTTCCAGCTTCCTTGAATGAAGGTTGTGTGTCCTCAGGTAGTTTATTGGTCAATCAAGGAAAGAAAAGAAAGGTTTGGGAAAAGGGAAATACTGAAAACAGACCATAGGCTTCCTTACTTTGACATAGTCTCTGCAGACAGATCTTCAGGATTCCTAACTTTTGTTTCTCCTGAAAGAACAAAAAAAAGTGAAGTTCACATAAGCTAGAAACCTTCAGTCCCCTGAGGAATGAGAGCAGCCACTGTACGAAGCTTTTTGTCACAGCTATTAGGAGCAAGCGTACTGCAGCTACCATGAATAATTAAGAAACCTGGAATTAATAGGAACAGTTGGGACTTTTAGCACATTAGAGCTTATGGGTAGGAAAAACTCCCCATAACTCTTCCATATTTGCAATGTCTCTTAAAATTAAAGAGCAGACCTTATTTCTAATGGTAAAGATCATCTCTAGATTGAGGAGGGGGTTGGTGGCAGCATGTAGGAAGGAACAAGTCCACCACTGCCTCGCACAAAGGCACAGGGAGTCTCAGCTTCTGGCCCGTGAGGACAACTGGCTGCAGAGCTCTAGAAGCCACTTTTCCATCTCTGCTTTTGTAAAAAAATTGGGATGCCTTAAGGATGCTTTCTTAGTCATCTCGGGAGGGATTCATTACATCTTCTTTAAAAAATTAGAGCATGTAACGTGCTTATGTGATTTTAAATTTATTTATTTGACTTACCATGGCCTCGGAGATCTAAAGCCACGATCCTGCACTGAATCCTGTTAATGATGGCAGACTGCAAGAAAGGACAAAGAATATCATTTGCAAAGTGCCACACCCTGCCTACAAAAGGATCAGCAACACGAAATGCTCCCTGAAACAACAGCAAAGGCTCAGATGGTGCGACAAAAACCTTCTACTGTCACCAAAGTGGCTGAACCTGGATTGCAGGAGGTGTCACAGAAAGCCACCAAGAATATTCCATATACAATATCCTTAATTAACCAAAGCTCCATCCTTTCTACCATTGTTAACGCTGACATTTATTTCACTGTGCATAAAACACGACACGTGTTTCCTGGGATAAGGAATTCAAGCTCTGTAGCACCTCTGAAATCTGAAATGCAGCAGAATTACAGACACCAAAGCGATGCCCCCTCCCTCCCCAAGCCCCCCAGGCAGATGAAGCAGCTGCTTTGCAGCACACACTCAATTTTGTCTCTCAAAGAACAGAATTTTACAGTATGGCTGAAATGTAGAAAAACTGATTAGTCCAAAAGGGTTGAGGGGAACAAGTAAGGAATCTTTACAACACAATTGTGGCTCTGTTTGTCCCTGACAGCTCAAATTATTTCAGGCATCACAGTGGTTAAGTGGCATTCTTTGTTGAAAGGAAGACTTTAGCGTTAAGGAATCGTTGATTATTTCAATAACAGCCCTGCAGGAGTGGGGGAATTTGTGGAGAGATTCTTCATAGAGCCACCTACATCATGGGCAGAGATCTGAAAGCCACCCAGCCCTCCTATTTTGGTTTTTCAGCTATTCAGCTCCTAAACGACTGGAGCAGTTGCTCTCCCCAAAACCACCGAATGCACAACTTAATATTTCAGAGCCCCCTAAAGCCACCTTGAAACTTCAATCTGCAAGGTGCTTCTGCACCTAAAGAATAATTGAACAAGTCAGATGAGCAGTCTGCTGCTAAAAAATCAAACTATTCTCAGGAGGGAGTAAGGAAAGAGGATCATCCACACGATGTGAGAGAACGAGAAGCTTCCCAGTGCCCAGAGTTTTATCCCAATAGGAGTACTTCAGCCAAGAGAAGTACAAACGCATCATCCAGGATGTCACCAGCCCGATAAGCAAAAGAAGAAAGGAGCATGCCACTCCTGCAGGCTGTTATTTTATTTATAGAGTTATTCTCAATGCTTCTCAATTTGGGTTTCTTCTTTTTGGGGGGGTTTGGGTTGTTTGGATTTGTTTCAGGTTTTTTTTTTTGTTTGTTTGGTTGGGTTTTTTTTAAGCTCTGGTTCATCCCAAACATAATACTTGATTACTTGGGACAAAGTTTCATTTCAAATGCACAAAATAAATAATTCTATAGCAGCCACGTGAAGGGATGAGCTGACTGTGGCGGCAGTTTCTTTCTCCAGATGCAGTCTCAAGTGCAAGGTGGAAATCTACATGAATTTTGTGCGTGATGTAACTTTCTTAATTGCTAAGAGTAACATTAAAAAGCCAGTAAGGTACAGTGTTATAACTGCAATCACTCCTCTAAATTCAACTCTGGAGATTTTTTAAATGTAAAAAGGTTGCTATTGGAAATAAGGAGCTGTAGAGGGGGTGGAAGGGATTTGTAAGAAGCCCTTCCCTTAACTCAGAAAACCACGACTTCATACCTCTGCCTCCAATTCAAAGCAGTGACCTTCACTACATCTCTTGAAGGCACTTGTATATTATAACAAAACCATAAAACTAGCGGAGGAAAAGACATAAAAGACATCTGTCCATCTTGGCAACTAATGAGTTACAAGCAAGAAACTACAGGATTTAGGAAATCCGAGATTTAAGACTTAAAGTTTCAGAAGACCTGTATCTGCACCGGTCTCTGGGTCAGGTAAAGTCACAAATGACCTGTTTGGTGTAAAAACTACTAGTCAATGCCAAAATTACAGCCCAGCAGCCAAAGTATTTTTCTAAAGTGTCTCATCATATCGTAAGATGGTTTATGATTCCTCCATCGGGATTACTCAACAGTAGTCCTCTTAGGAATTCATGCGCAGTTGCTAGTGACTCTTGTAAAAGATTTGTTCTTTTTACCGTTTGGATTTCTGCTTAAAGGCTAAATTATCTACAGCCCACCAAACTGCTAAAAGATAACAGATACGACACAGCCGAAGGCACAGGGGAGACAGGGACTCTATCTATCTTGTCGCATCTCCATGAAAGTCATCCTACAGCATCCTTAAGGGAACTAGACAGCTCGAAGAGTTCCTGGCTTAAAAAGGTCCCAAATAAAAATTAAAAAAAAAAAAAATTCACACACTGCACGTGATTTTACTTTACTTGAAATCTTTTAGAAGTTTTCTTCCTTAACTTCCTTCTTTTTTTAAAGGCAACGGGTGGGAGGGAGGAATTTTGGTCTGCTTAGTCCCCACGCTCGCTCCTGTGCCACAGTTTGTGTTTCAGAGTTGCTTGAGCAGCAAATGAGATTTTTTGACAAGTCAAAGAGGACCTCAACCATGTAAAGATAATATTGTTATGACGAGATCAAGCTGTTGAACTTTTACTACCAACCACGAAAAAGCATCCTTCTGAAAAAAAATTAATACGCTATGAAGAGAAATGTCTTGGCACTTCATTAAAACACGCAAGCTGATAATTAAAACCTAGACGATAAATCTTTGCATGTGCTTTGCCTATTTAATAGATACACCCACAGTGAAATATTTAGAAGACTTGAGAGATTATAAAAGTTTTCTGAATTGATTTTCCTGTGCTTAACATAGCTGAATGGTGAGTTGCCTTCCACACTCAACTATATTTGCATACATCTATACTTTCATAAAGCAGCAGCTTACTTACAGTAAACACAGCCCAGGAGAGAGCAGAATGGCCTCCGCCGTGTAAGAGCAGTAAGACAGGTCCCTCCAATCCGCTTTTGTAAATTCGAAAAGTGTATGAACAGTTAAGGACATTTCATAGAGTTATTTAAAGTTACTTTGCTGAATGTATTTTAGAGTCTGTGATACTCAACAGGGTTTTGCTTCTACCCTCGTGTAGCCAAGGCCTCACTACTCCCTCTGATCAATGGGCATGGGCAAGCATAACCTGGACAAAACTTAATCCACTTTATTTAAGTTTCAAGAGTTGTTTTCTTGCTGCCCAGGTCTCCTCTTCCCTGTAATCTGTGCATCTCCTGTCTGCACCCTTTTCCCCCTGTGCACAACAGTGAATTGAAAAATGAGGAGGAAAAAAAAAAAACCCAAAACCAAAAAACCAGGATCAGCGTGCACTTTGGAGCATATACTTTTGGAGTATTTTCATATTATTTTCAAGGCAAAATGTCAGATAAGCCAGTAAACAAGACTTTTAAGGCAATGTAATAACTCACTGGAATTTACACAGCAAAGATGTTGCATTATGACAGCTAAAGTCCCCTTGGAGTATATATGCAGACACTGAAAAATCAGTTTCACTCTCACTAAAAACAACATCACTTTGAGAAAGGCACAGAAATGTGAGTTGCGACATCTGTGTTCAGTGCCCAAAGCTGTGATCAGACAAGTCACTTCACCTCCTTCTACTGTTCCCTCTCTGGTCTTGGGGTGGACAAAAGCATCCCTCTGAATCTAACCATGCTGCTGTGGTTACCGAGGAGGCTGTTCCTCGTTTTTCTGCTGAATGCTGCAGTGCCCTTTGGATCTGCTGGTTGCAAACAGTTCACGCAGGTGCTCCCGGCGCCGTTGCAGTTACAGTGAGCTGCGTCAGCTTAACCGGTTTAATCAGCTGGGTTTTGTTCACACAAGATCTGATGGAGAGGTAACAGACAGCCGAGGCAGACCAGCCAGCACCGGCTCTGCTCGTTAATTCCGCTGCTTTACGCATCTGTCCACAACCTACCACGTGGGAGCTCAAGCTCCTATTAAAGGTCACAGGTAACACGATAAATCCCAAATAACTAAGATTTGCTTAAATTTAGGGTGCTTATGTACATCACCTATCCAAATAGGTCCATTTTCCTTTTTATTTTACTATTCATGAAGCCTCAGGGCTGTGCACAGCCCTTATATCAAACACAGGCAAGGTGCACATCATGAAGAATTTATAGGATCAACTGGACAAATGCAGCCAATAAACGCAAAATAATGACAAGCTGAGCAAAACAACAAGGAGAATTTTCTCTTTTCAAAGCATCACATGCCATTGGCCTTAGAGAAGTAATTACCAAACTGGTATTTGGAGAGAAATAGCTCGAAAGTTTGGGTTTCCTAACAGCCGAGCTAGAATAAGCATGCTTAAAAACTAGGCAACTATTTAAACTACAAGGCTGGGTTATTTAAACACCGATTGAAATGTTTTCATTTTGTAATTGGGTCAAAAAGACCTGGAAGTACCTCTCAAACCGCTTTTGTCAGAGCTGTAGGCAGAGGCAGGACTGGTGGGAAGTCTGTACTTGTTGGGGCGCTCCCACAGCTCCCAGTTAGCAAATGGTCTGGATACTGAGCACGTCAAAGAGGATGACTGCCATCAGCTGGATTAAACAGTAATTGGAAGACTCGCAAAGAGGAGTCAGCTTGAAAAGAAATCTAAAAACATGAACATGTGCAAAGGGGGCAGAGATCTTGGAGAGGAAAGCATCCCAGAAGAGACTGGGTGCTCTTGTAACCCACACTTCTTGGGGGTGCGTACAGCCATGGATGTATGTCTGTGTGTGTACAGGACCAGAATTGCCTGGGATGAGCTGTAGAAAGGTGTTTAGAAATTTGTCAGTATTTATTAGCATCTAAATGTTTAGTGTTGGGGTGTATCTGTTGTACTGGTACTGGTTCTGAGCATCCAGTTCACCAGTTAATTGCCAGTTACCTGTTGTCAATAAAAATCAATAAACAGCTTAGATCGTGACATTGTTTAACCTATGGGAACTGATGAGTATTTCCCCACAAAATATGTTATTGAATTGTTGGAAAAACTTTTTAAAATTAATGATTACTAAAGAAGCAATGCTAGGAACTGACCTTGCTAGTACATCTTAACTATCAGCTTAGATTGTTCTAGTTACTGATGCTGATCCCTAAGAAAGAAAAAAATAGAAGATGAGAAAAAATACTCTACAAAGATGAAGAGAACCCCAATAAACTTGACAACAAACTTCAACATGATAATGCCTCCGTCACTGAGAATAAGAAAAATTCAATCTGGAAAAAAAGGATATATCCTTGCCGGTTTCATTTTCTACCACGACATCCTCCATAGATTCAAAGTACTGGCTCCAGAGCACTGGTGAAAAATCACGCTTTCTTCCAGGGCTGCAAGACAAAAAGGGAAAAAAAAAAATCAGTAAGAGGTATTTTAAAAATCCTTCATTTAAATTGGCATGTGGGCATTATTATGTTCATTGAAGAGACCATGCCAGTGTTACACAGCAGTTTAGGACCGGAAGCAAATGATGCATCAGTGAAATATCCATACGATTAAAATATTAATGATTTTATGGTCAGTAAGGAAACCCCCCTTTTCCTCCTATTGAGGAAATCGGAAAAATGCACAAGGAAACTAGTGGAGACACAAAGAGGAGAATATTTTCCTCGTAAAGCAATACCAATAGACTGACTAATGGTAATTTAAACTACACAGACCTAAGCCAAGGGAAAATAAAGAGAACTGGGCACGTAGTGGTACCCTCCCAGTACAGTCTTCCAGTTTGCAATGACCCACAGATCAGGTGCATCAAAAGTCATTAAATACTTTTGTATTCAATGGTCTTGCTCTAGCCTCAAAGCAGCCTGATGCTGACAGGACTGGGAGCACTCCAGTGCCTGGCACACAGGAAGCCATCCTAAATTTATGACTCAGCCCATGAATCATAATTAAAAAAAAAAAAAAAGAATACGTCCCTCTCAGGAGTCACCTTGACACCACGGTATTGAAAAGCCGAGTGGCAGCTCTTTGCTGAAGGTTACCACTAATTTACCAAGTACTACTTGTCATGAGATTACAGCTTTCCTAGAAATCTCCCCTCATTTTTGGAAGAAGTAGCATTCAAACTGAAAGTCAACCTGCCCTGATGGCCGAGCGGCTGGTAGAAAAACTACGGAGAAAATTGAGCAGTGTGGTATATGGAAGAAACTTAGAAGCACTGCTAGGAGCAGAAAAAATAAAATCCACCAGGTTTAAGTTAAGAGCAGGAAGTTTTAATGACAGCTCGAGTTTCCTGGAATTTCTTGCAAGGGTTAAAAATTTAACATATTTGTAAACAGATCTAGTATTTAAGTACTGCATGTAGGGCAACAGCAGGACTGCGAAGGAAAAGACCAAGACCAAATTAATTCAGCATATGCTTCTGTATTTATCCTGCCTCAGTTAAGGATAAGGACCATGAGAACAGCATCGCAATAAAGACCGATAAACACTCCTCAAGTCGTCTTCCTCCTTCTTCTTCGAGCTACCATCTGTGATCCTGAAAGTATCCTATAATAAAAATATTTTGTTAGGAAGGATGCTATCGAATCCAGCAACACAAGTAAAAGGTAGTGAGTCCAAAAGGCTGAAGTTATATTAAAAAAAAAAAAAAAAAAGGTAGGATCTTTAAAAGCTGTATTTTAATCTGAGGATCGTAACAAGACTGCGTAACACAGCTGCTGGCAGGATACCTCCACGCGAGGATGGGCTTTCAGGCTCCGGTTTGCTCCAGGCTCTGCACTTATTCCCAGGTTGCTGTAATTCCTTTAGAAGTTATCATCTACCTGTACAGAAACACTGCTTTACCGTCATCAAAAAAACAAACAAACCACAACCCAGGAAGGTAAAACCTGGCCAAATGCACTCTGACCACTGAAAACTTCTGGAGCTAGTGCCCAGAGGTAAAATTTCTTTTTCTATCCCATCATTTGCCAAATACTGATAAACGAGCACCGCACAGGTGAGAAAATCGTTAACGGCCGACACCGGGGGAAGAGACGGGGCTTTGGAGATGGATCAAAACCACTGGGTTAAAAGAGGATTTGGTGATAGAAGATTTGGACGTCGGTGCTACGTGTGGACTACTTTGTGTCTAGTAACTACTTCTACCTGGAGAGGTTTCTTCCCTTTGTATAAACTCCCATCTTCCTTCCCGTACTCCGCACACCCCTGGAATAACTCCTGAAGAGAGGCAGGAAAGCAAAACCCAGTTTTCCCAGTAACACATTTCCGAAAGGTGAATCACAGTCGTTATTCCCCATAAGCAGCGAGACTCCTCTTTAGAATAAAGCTAATTTCTTTTTTGCTTCCATCAAAAGGTGCAGCTGTGTCCTCTCTTTGTATCCCCGTTACTAACAAAAGGCTTTGCAATCAGAATTTTCCTGATGACTCAGTTGATGCAAAAAAATCTGTTTCTCAGGCTGATATTCACTCAGTAAGGCTAAAAGAGTAGTGCTTAATTTTGGCAGTGCCATAATTAGGCAAGATTCGAGCCCAGTATACAGGATGAGTAAGAGTGCACCATTTTAACGGTCTTTTTGCACTTCTCTGGGGGAGGCAATCAGCACAGAATATTAAAATGAAGCATGGGTGTGGGGGGTGAAAGACCTTCAGAGAAGAAAAAATCTCTGTTGAAGGGGGTGAAAGACCTTCAGAGAAGAAAAAAATCTCTGTTGAAGGAAGCTTCTTGTGAATTCTTGGCTTCCTAAAGAAATCGAAAACAGACAGAGCAGCTTTTTGATTTTGTAAAAACAAAACTCCGATTTCCCCTGATATTTCAAGAATATGAAACATAAAACAACCACCTCCTGAACGGTCCAAATTAACTTCTGTGGGTTTCCAGACTTCAGTATGGCTCTTGTCAAATTTCAATTAAATAAAATGAGATGTCACACACCTACGTAGAGCCAGAAAATATTCATCTCCTTTACTGCCTCAGCTGGTATAGCAGCAGGTACAGAGGGACTCAGCACCGGTCCTTTGCCAACAGATGAAGAACAGATCTCAAAACCAACAAAATCAAGTCACATACCCAGGTACAAGGCAAGAAACCACATTAAAAGGATGGGGCACGCGGTTCGGTGAAGCACGATCTCCGGAAAGCTGCTGGTTCATCGGCTGAGTGCATACACTGAGGTGAGAGCACGGTGACCCTGGTCATGGTGTGATTCTTGGGTACCTATGGACAATCTCAACTTGGGGCACAGACTGTACCAGAACTGCACAAGGCACTGGTATCACCATGTCCGGAATACTGTACCTGCAGCTGGAGCGATAATTTGAGCGCATAACTTAAGAAGATTCAAAGCAGTATAGAAATAATTAAGACTGGAAAAAAGGGCATCTAAGGAGAAGCTTTACAGAGCCTGAACTGGTTAAACACGCCAGGACTGGTGTAGGGCAGGGTGGTGGTGGAGGAGGAATAAAGGGGTGATCTAGGTTAACTTCACCTCGATGGCTCAGATTGAAGGGGATTTTTAGCTCATTTTCTCAAGCAGATGTCTTCACGAGGTCAGATAACCTGGAGAACTTGGTATCAGCCTCAAGCCTCTTAGGTTAATCACAGAAGGGTTTGGGTTGGAAGGGACCTCAAAGCCCACCCAGTGCCACCCCCTGCCATGGGCAGGGACACCTCCCACTAGCCCAGGTTGCCCAAAGCCTCATCCAGCCTGGCCCTGAATAAACATTGTACCTTTCCACAAAACACCTGGTGACCGCAGGAGGCTGGGCAGTGACTGATTTGAGAGAACCATTCCACTGAAGAAAAGAATTAGGATCTTTGATTTGTTATTTTTCCCAGAGCTTCTTTTTTTAGCGATAACATCAACACACATTCAAAATTAGAAACGAGCCCAACAAACAGCAGCTGGGATTTTTGCACCTTCCTATGCTGAAGCAGTATTTTGCTGACTAAATATTTAAACTGACGGAACTAATTACTGCTTTTTAAAGTATCCGGCAGACCAAAACAGAAATGGAACCAACATAATAACTTTTCTAGAACGATCCTTAAACTCCAAGCCAGCCAGCGTACTAAACGGGAATCACAAAACAAATTCCAGGCACCCTCTACAGCTGGTTTTATCCTATTGTGCAGTTTTTTTTCTTTTCATCACACACTGAAAATGTGCACATGCTGCAAGCCATCCCGGAGCAACAGGAACCCACATGGCTCAACAAATCTCTCACCAATTTTTAGAGGGGTTTTCTTTCAGGTATTTTCCTAAAAAGAAAAAAAAAAATTGTTGCACTGAGCAGGGGGAAGCATTTTCAGAAATGCCTTTTTTTTTTCTTGAGAGTCTGTATTAAAAACTACTAAAGCAATTAAATCAGAAGATGACACGCACGAATCAAAATAATTAATTCTTGCATCACATCTGAACCTGACCGACGCAAATCAAACATAGTCTGTATGTAAGAACTGTCACAGCTGACAAGTGGAATAAAAATTCTAAAAATTGACAAGGACGTTATTTTAATTTCTGCCTTAAAGATACTGAATACATCAAATGTTTTGTTATTTTACAAGTTTCAGGGGAAAAAAATGGATTAAAAAGGGAGAAATTAGTTGAAATTGTCATGATTGAACTACACAGATCTGAGCCAATCAAGCCCTCCTAGATAATTAAAAGATCTCAGGAGATTGCACATCATTTTTATTCACATATTGGAAAAGAATAGCAAACTCTTGGATTTTAAAAACCCATCTGGATCCTCAACTCTGAATAAGCGAGTTCTGCAAGCAACTAGTGAGAAACTTCAGACAAAATAAGAGGGCATCAGCTGTTAGAGCCGTCAGGAGCTGCTCCTCTGGGTCTCGCTCCTTTTGCTTCACTAGTGATTTTGCAAACTCCATTATTTGATTTCCTCAAAGAAATCTGCCCATCAAGTTGGATTTGATTTCCACTTCAACCAAGCGATTCAAACAAATCACTTTCGATAGGCAGGCAGTTTCAAACACAACCTTCGCCAGATTAGCTCCTTAAAATAAACAGACATTGAAAAATGAACTTGGGGCTCGTCTCAGCGCTGTGATTTTCACGTACTTCTCGAGTCGAAGACAAAGCACCATCCTCCTTTAAAAACGGCCTTTTGGTGACATCATTCAGTTGGACAATTTTGTTGGAGAGCACTGAAACAGAGGCAGGAGAGCACTACAGCAAAGGAGGGAATTGCTGGAGTAGTGCACGCACACGCGTGTGTCCGCAGACGGGAGGGAGCTGTGATCCAGAGGAAGCAGCAAGGTAGCAGAAATCAATGCCACGTGCTGTGAAATACGACAAAATTCTAAGCGTGTATCTTGTGGTACAGCAAAAACCAGCCAAAACGATGTTGCAGCAGCCATTTTAACCATTCAGGGGTTTTAACTTAAATATTAATATCCGTGCTCCATACAATGAAGGATTGAACATCCCTCCTGTTTGCGTTTTCATACATGTCATTGCTCTGATGAACAGCTGGAAGCATGGAGAGGCTGCAGCTGGAAGCAGAGCCAAGATTCACAGAGCGCTCAGCTTCGTGTGACAGTCCCACGGGCACAGCCCGGCTATTTGCTTCGGCCACTGTGACTTCTCAAATGAAACTCTCCGGTCAAGAGATGTAAAGAAGTGATTGTGCTGGAAAATGGCAAAAAATTATTTTAAAAAACGAAGAAGGAGGAGGAGGAAAAAGAAGAAGGAGGAGGAGGAGGAAAAAGAAGAAGGAGGAGGAGGAGGAAAAAGAAGAAGGAGGAGGAGGAGGAAAAAGAAGAAAAAAAGAATAAAAAAAAAGAGGGAGATGAGCCTGTTTTCACCTATTTGAATGCAGCAATAGGTGATATTTTATTACAAACTACTGAAACACAGATTAACCTTTTAACAGCATATTACCAAAAAGATGTAGGACTTTTTTTTGGTTAAGAGGTCCTCAGTATAAATGTCAAAGGCTTCTTTGCAAAATGAATAATTTCAGAGTAAGCTTGAAAAAAACGGTGTTTTGAAGAACGCATCCTACCCTGTAACTTGCCTTTCCAGTCAAGGATGACTGAAGCTTGAGAAACTTCAGTGCTGCAGTAAATTATTTTTCTATTTTCCAACAGCAATATCACTTTCTCCACCACACCATACAGCAACATTAACATGACCAGCCTGGCTGATAATAAAAAAAAGAAAGAATAAAAAAGAGAGTACCCAACACAGCAGTCAGAGGATGGGTGCAAAGCATGAAAAAATCAGCTGTTGGATATTAAGATTAAAACCATTTTAACGGCCCTGATTCCTATTCAAGAAATTCAAATGATATAGATTTAGAAACATGAGATGCTTAACGTGGCAAAGAAATGTTTCTCTAAGTTTAATTATTTTTCTTCCTTGTAAAAGTTTGAATTTTAAAGGACTATTTCAATACTGCCTTGGACATTTGCCAGCACCACAAGTCACACTCTCATTTTTCTCTTTCACCTTCTCTGTCGGTGGCCTGACTATGGAATCTTGCGCTTGGTTGTACTGAACTGCGTCCTGCTAAACCTTAGTGAAGCCCAGGTAGGAATAATTTACACGATCGCAGATGAGATGCAAGCAGCCACACCGCGCAACTGTACCCCACAACCTGAATAGAGAGGGGCAGAGTCATCCCAGGGGAAGAAAAGAAAAAAAAAAAAAAAGAGAATGAAGTTGTCATCTAAAAATGTAAATTAAATAATCTTTCCAGTTCACAGGTGCGTGAAGGCCTCTCTTGTTGAAGTTCCGTGCCCAGTTTTGGGCACTGCTGTCCAAAAATGAAAACACGGCTTAAGATGAGGAGAGACCAGAGATCTTGGAGGAAGAAGAAAAGGTTAAAGGAGCAAAGTATTGAGTCTACAGCCTGATCAGGTTCAGAAGCAAAGGTCTAGGTGATGCTGACCATTACTTGTACTTCGCTGGCTCTATATTCCACTTCTTGCCAAAACCAGGACACTTTTCTGCTTCCAAGTCCCAAGTATCTCTGGATGATGCTGTCCTCGTGTCAGACATGCAGCGGAACATCACCCAGAAAGGGATTTACGCGATGTCAGAGCAGTAAACCAAAAATACAACCGCACCACGCAACTACAACGCGATTACGAGCTACTCCCCACTGTGTCGAAGGGGAAGGACAGGGGAATTCTTGATCCGTAACCGCAACACTGGATTTCATATCAGGGCTTTCATAGAGTATTTGAAAGGGAAGAAAAAAAGAAAAAGAGGTTTGTAGCATTACAGAATAATAGAAACAAACTTCTCTTCATAATCATTTCCCTAACAGACGACGTTCAACTCTCTGAAGAGTGGCAAGATGGAAGCATTATATAAATTACGACATAGGATCCCTACTAATGAGCGCAAACATCAATATTTCCAAACTGCGAACACACCCCACAGGCGCACATCATAAATCCAGTTAAAAATCCCGGGAAATGCTTAATTGTAATTTGTTTACCTGCGATGAGTAAGCGAAGCAACAAATATCACAGGGGTTTTGTCAGCACCTCATTAAGTTCATGACTTAACAGCTTGGACTTTGGCTATTTTTTTAATAAAAATTATCAAGAGAATGGATTTTCAGAAATGACAAAAGAAAGAATCAGTGTGCTCCCGAAGTTTACGATGCATGAAACCTGGATAAAGCACATTTGAAATTACACAAAATAACCGCAAGGGATGAAACTCTTCAGTTAAACAGCATAAAACAAGAGGAAGAAATAAAAACTTTAAAACAGAAAAATTGTGTGTTTGGCTGACTTTGTACAGCATAAAGGTTTGTTTTGGTTAACTCTGTTCTGAACAGAGCCAGCATAATTAAATTATAGATTTAACGTCAAACCTAGCCTTCTGCGGCCCACGTAACCTTCAGCACACTCCTGTGAAATCCAAGACTCTCCGCAACACCAACGGGTGACCCAGTGGTTTACTGACTTGCTCAGAACCCACGGTTCAACACAACCTCAGGGAACAGAGTCCCAGCTCTCAATTTCAGACAACCAAGAGATCCAGGAGAGCAGACAGCAGTCCTGAGAGAGAGAGCAACCCTGCTGAAAGTCATTCAAAGCCACTTTTTTCTAATTTCTATGTCTATTTCTATACTAACAGTACATATTAATCCCCTGAAATACAACTTTT